ACAAACACACACCCTACTTCACAGTTCAAAATTTAAAAATTGCTGTTCATATAGCATTCTGAATGACTCATTGCTTCGAAATCTCAAGTTTCTTAAACTTTTTCATTGTCCTTTTTTTGTTGCCTATGGCTACTCTGATCGATTTTGGACCACCAAGGGAGATTTAACGTGAGTACCCACCATAAAATCAGGATTATGGCTGATAGACACATAGACACAGTTAGAAGGAGCAGAATCTGAAGAGAGCAGTAGAAAGGCTGCAGAAAGAGTCTGAAGCCCAGAGGAGATGACAAAGGGGAGGGGGCAGACAGTGGTGACAAAAAAAGCAAAGACAGAACAAGGTTTGAGAGGAGGACATGAGATGAAAGTAGACAATTTTAGAAGAGAAAATTTTCCGTCGTTGTCCGGATTCGAATCCAAGACGTATTGAATGAGAAGCGAACACCGTCATTGGACCACGAGAGCCCCCTTTGTTGGGTTAGTCTTGTGGGGAAACTCTCATCATTACCAATAACACGATTTACTGTGCACTTGCCATTTATAAACATAAAATAAAACAGTTTTGTTTTCATATCTATTTTTTTATATATAAGAAAAACATTTGATTCCTATTGAGCCCGGCTTTGAGATTTTGAAACTAAGTTCAACCCCATTCCTGTTTTAGAAGCTAATTTTTTTCTTTCAAATCCACTAGAAGGATACCTCTCAATGGGACAGTTTCTGTTTCTGTCTTACTTAGGCCTCGAGCACACAAGGGAATGTCCTACTTGTTGCACGGTTGTGATTATGCCATTGAGGCAATTTTCGCCCGCTCGTCTCTGTCTTCTAACGGACAAATGACGTTATACTTAGCAGTCGTGCGAAGAGACGAAGTTTTCCTATGCCATGGTGGGTCTTAAGGGGGCTAAAAACTAGTCTACTAACAACAAAATCTCACTTTGTAATCGGTCACCAAAATAAACAGAACCGTATATAACTTTGGTCTGATCCAAACCGTTGGCAAAACTCTCTTCAAAATAAAAAATTGATGCGGCAGTGACTTCTTTTTCTATAGAGTCTCACGTCCTGATAACCTCATAACCATCCTTACCCCTCCCTCCCCCAAATGTTTCATTTTTAACTATGAAGTCACAGTAATACACTTGTACCATTCTCAAACCCACGATATTATAACAATAATGACAGTTTCTCACCATAAGATATTTTTATTTCACTTACCCTTGGTTCAAACCTGGTTCATGGTATGGTTGAGAGATAAAATATATAAATATTAATCAGCCAACGTTTTAAGTTCTAAAATTTAAACAAAGACCAAGAGAAAAGTGTTGGTTAAACATATAAAGTAAAAATTAGTCGATGATTTTAATAAGAATTGAAACATTCGTGCAAAACAAGGAAAAGATTGGATTTTTCTTTCAAAATGTCTAATTTAAATGAACGGCCTATACGTGAAAATAAAACCCATGCCCTCTACGTACTGGGCGACGATCCCAACAACTACGCTCTAGAGAGTGGAGGACACACGATGTAGTGGGGATTTAGAGAATCAAGAGCACAAGAGTGAGTGAGGATTTAGAGAATCTAGGACACTCGAGGTAGTGAGGATTTAGAGAATCTAGGACACTCGAGGTAGTGAGGATTTAGAGAATCTAGAAGACAAGAGTGAGTGAGGATTTAGAGAATCTAGGACACTCGACGTAGTGAGGATTTAGAGAATCTAGGACACTCTAGGTAGTGAGGATTTAGAGAATCTAGAACACAAGAGTGAGTGAGGATTTAGAGAAAATAGGACACTCGAGGTAGTGAGGATTTAGAGAATCTAGGGCACACGAGGTAGTGAGGATTTGGAGAAAATAGGACACACGAGGTAGTGAGGATTTAGAGAATCTAGAACACAAAAGTGAGAGAGGATTTAGAGAATCTAGGACACAAGAGTGAGTGAGGATTTAGAGAATCTAGAACACAAGAGTGAGTGAGAGTTTAGAGAATAGAGTGGAAGACACACGAGTGAGTGAGTGGGAAGACATGGAATAACATCAAGAGGCTAGCCCAGGATAAAGAAAGGTGGAAAGTGTTTGTCCGTGGCCTGTACCCTGGTGCAGGGTGAGAAAGGCAATGATGATGATGATGATGATGATGATGATGATGATGCCATTCGTTCAGGGAACAATAGTGTGAGAGAAGGGCGGAGTATCATTTTAGGGAAAGAAAGGGCGAAGTTCCATTTCCAGGGAAAGCTTGGATTATACTCGAAATTTCGGATGTTCTCAAAAGAAAAGCAAGAAAGGCAAATCGACATTTGTACTAACTCTAGTGCAACTGTTTCTGTGTGCATGTGATGGTTTGCATGTGTGAGCGTGTTTTTGTGTCAATGTGTGTGCCCGTGCGTGCGTGCGTGTGCTCGTGTGTGTGTGTGTGTGTGTGTGTGTGTGTGAGTGTAAGTGTGTGTAAGTATGTGTGTAAGTTTGAGTCTGTGTGTGGGAGTGTTTGTATGTGCATATGTGTGTGTGTGTGTGTGTGTGTGTGTGTGTGTGTGTGTGTGTGTGTGTGTGTGTGTGTGTGTGTGTGTGAGTGTGTGTGTGTGTGTGTGTGAGTGTGTGTTAATGTGTGTTTGTGCGGGTGTGCGTCAAAGAGAGGTAGAGAGATAGAGAGAGAGAGAAAGAGAGATAAAGAGAGAAAGAGAGAGAGAGAGAGAGAGAGAGAGAGAGAGAGAGGGAGAGAGAGAGAGAGAGAGAGAGAGAAAGAGAAAGAGAGAGAGAGAGGGGGGAGGGAGATGGAGAAAGAAAGAGATAGATAGATAGATAGAGAAAGACTGGAGGACAGTTATACAGAGAGAATTGATCACCGATTTTGAAAATAAAAATGGCGTTATCCAATCTTTCTCGATCTTCTTTAATTCATTTCGTGTCTATCTCTACAATATTTATAATCTTAGGAACGTTAAATTGTAATATTTTCTCCTGAAAAATTAAGGAAGCACCTTCCTTTTTGGCAAAGGTAATTAGAATTAAGAGCCACTAATTTAAATATATTAAAGGCGACGGCGTACGTTAAGGAAGTGCCGACATTTTAATGTTATCAATGATTGTTTTAAATAAGAGAACAAATTAGCATCGTGTCAACAGCTGTTGTGGTTGTGTGTATAAAGGATAGACTGAAGACTTAGAGTCAATGTAAATCGCCTTGGTACATCTAGTCATCACGCAGGTATCAGCTCAAGTCTAAGAAAAGGGTGTGCACACGGTGCCATTTACCCAAGTCGAAAGTCCAACTGAGGACTCGTTGAGAACTTATACTGTTCTTTGATAATGAGATCACGAAGTTGTGTGAGATAGCAACAAATAACAACTGATAACAACAAATGACAACAGACAACAACAAAATAACAACAAATATCAACACAAACGTCCTAATTTAGTTGGGGGTTTTTCCCGTTAAATTGTTAACTTCGATTTTAGTTTCGATTTGAATGTAAACCAAAAAAGGGACGCCACTCCGGTCATCGCTAAAGAATATTCAACTTCTAGTAGTTGACCTACATAGTTACTCGGAGTTGTGCACATAAAGTAGGGGCCTCATGGTTGACCACATGAATATTGATTTTTGAGGCTGGAATCAAAGATTTTTGTGTAATCAGTTGTTATTTGCAGTTATCAGTTGTAATTTGTTATCAGTTGTTATTTGTTGTTATCTTGACAAAGATAAATACCGGTTGTGTGACGTATCTGGCCTTTATTAACGTGAGCCAAGTCTCATTGTTGAACATTGTAAGAGTGTGGCCATGTTAAATAATTACCATTCGATCGCCAACAGACGGAGAAGTAGAACACAGTAAATCGCTCTCCTGTATTACGTCAACCAAGGACACACACGAAAGCTTGTGTTGAACTCATCTAGATGAGCGATTGGCCGTGCTTGTCCTTCTCGTCCATTGTCACTCGTGAAGTACCGTAGCTCATTGCCTGATTTTACCTGCACAGTGGTTTGGCAAAGTCTGTGAATTGATTAGAGCTGTTGTTTTTATTTCAGTATTTTCTTCTCCTAGCCCCGAGACAATCTGACAACACCATGAGGCTCTCGTTTCTCCCGTCCCTTCTGCTGGTTCTTTTCTTCGTCCTTCATGGACACGTCGGAAGGACAACGGGATGTCAACTAAAGGATCCGAGATTCATGTTAGACTCTGACGAGACGGACATTGTGGCAAAGACCACGCCACAACGCTCTTTTTCGCCCTGGGGGGAACGTGTTCTTCAAGGAGAAGACACTCTCTACAGGCCCAAAAACGGGTTTCTTTTCGATGATGATAAACCGTTCAACTAAAGGGAAATGGTGAAGCTTCCTTTCAATGAATGAAAAGGTGAGAAATGATTTAATGTGCTTTAGCAAAAAGCGGAAAATGTTAGAGGAAACAAAATTATAATCCTGACACTGACATACACAGCGGTCAAGAATAAGTTCTAGGTAATAATAATATAGTTCTATATTAACGATAATACTATAGAAAAGACTAAAATTTTTAGAGATAAAGAAAAGAAAAATTCAAACAATTGATCAAAATGAAAAGTAATCCCCAATTATAACAAAAAAGATCAAATATCGAGTGCGAATAACATGTATTTATATTACTTTGTGGGACAAAAAGCCACAGGAGTTACAGCAAAGCTGCAGGCATTTCCTTGAAATAGACACAGATTTTGTGTATAGAAGTTTTGAGTGGTCAAAGTTTAACGTGTATTGAGTTGGGTCCTGTTGAACGGCCAGCTTGCACAGGGGACCACCGAGAATTTCCGCCCTTATCTGATAAGGCTAGGTATTAGATCCTTTCAACCAAAAGATCAGGGGTGTGACTGAAAGTCAGCAGTAAGACGGAGCAAAGTAGAAAAGCTGGTGAAGAATCAAGAGCCAAGAGGAGGGGGCAAAGGGGAGGGGGGAGGTGGCACAACGTGGAGACGAAAGCTGACGACAGAACAGTGTTAAACAACAGGAAACGAGACGAAAGAGGAACATTGTAGAGAAGAAAATATTTCATAGCTGTCAGGTTTCGAACCCTTAATCAATTGAAAAAAAGGCGAAAACCATAACCTCTAGACCACGAGAGCCCCCGTCAAGACACTTCAAAATTAGCGTGTTGAACATTCGAACCAGGCTCACCAACAATTCAGTCTAAAGTGATAGCCATTGCACAAACCAAATAGACAAGAGTACTCGTTGTATAGTGATGACCGTGTCAGGATTTCCTTTTTCTATCAGCACTCATCCTTCGGTTATTATTTGTGAGGCAGCAGGGTGGAATCAGGCTCTCGTCAATTTTTGGGCATGCAGAGTTATCAGTATCATCTTAAAGCTTGTTCATTTGTCTTTATTTAGATGGAAAAAATATCAATTTATCTTGAATGCTAGTCGATAAGATAAGTTATTTTCTTAGCTTAAGAGTCCGTGGTAACTGAAATTTTACATTTGTTGTGCCTTTAATCAACGTTTTTAAGAAAAATCCACATAGAAATGAGTTCTTTAATGGGCATGAAAGTTGTTGAGCCAATAAACAAAAATTTGATAAAAATTCCCAAGCCTACAGAAAAATGCAAGTTTCTTCACTTTGATTATTTTGACGAGAGCCTGATTCCACCACGCTGCCTCACATTTTATCCCTTTAATTTCATCAACGTTTTCGGATAATGACCTTCACTCTGTCCTGGTCAGGAAAGAATCCCCAAGTGTTAATAATATGTTGTGTTTATTACCAATACTCATGTCTCGGTGTCCAATTTCACACTCTGATTTCATCAATGTCTTCTGATACTGACCAACAACTTTTCCTGGACAGGAATATGTCACCAGTGTCGGGTTGTTGGACAAAAGACGAGGCAGCAGTCACCTGAGATGAGCAAGCTGCCAAACTTTAACGTACTGCTGGATCCACCATCACTTCCAATATCAACAACGACAACAAAACTAAAATTACAACAATAAAACAACGCTAACAAAGCAAAACATCGTGTTCATTTTTGCATAAGGCACACTGTGCGATGAGTTACGCCATGGTTTGAATAGAATAGCACACTGGCGAAGGATTATGGTTCGTTTCTGTTTGTTTAGTGCCCAGGTTTAGAAATAATGAAAAGGACAACGTGTTTTGCTTATGTTAGGGGTTACGGGACAGTGGTACGATTGGTAAGAATTCGGGGTTCGAATTTTGAGACTGGTGTTAGAGTTTGTAAACACGTCAGTGCAGTCTAAGATTATCCATGAGGCCCTGCCCAACCACGCCCTACAAGAACAACCTGGGCGCAGTAAAACAACGTCCGAGAAACTCACAGAATTTTCCAAACAACATCTGGAGTGAGACAAGGTTTCGTCCTTTCACCACTTGTATTCTCCATCAATAAAACAATCACCAAAAAGAGGATAACATAGAACTAGAGGAATTGACTGAGTTACGTTTAGCTGATGATCAAAGCCTGGCACACAAAGATGAACAAAGCATTCAACACCACAACATTTAATTAAATGAAGAATGATACAAATGTTGGCATATTATAGAGATCAACACAAGCAAAACAAATAAATAATAAAAGTAGGTAGAAATACAAGACCTCTCAACATACACGTTAACAATAACAAGCTTAAACAAAACCAAGAATTCAGGTACATTTGAAATGTATTCAAATAGGTTGGATGGATTTGTAGAAAGATAGAAAGGAGGGTCTTAAAATATGAAAAAAATGTATCTTACTAGATTGCTTCACTTCCGAAAGATCCTCTTATCCCCATGAAGACAAAAGCCTGAAATTGGGCGAAACGTAGAGCATTGTCTTGAATATACATGTACCTCACTTGCCTGAAATATATTCAAGTCTCATTATACATTTATTTTTGTGCTTGTTGTTTGAGTTTTTTTTCTTATTAAACAGCAATAAAAACAAAAGTCGAAATAATCAATACTATCTCTATTCAAACATTTACCTATCAAAGCCAAACACAAACCTTGAACAAGACATTAGAGAAAAGAAAAACAATTTGTGAAATGTGTCGTTCTAGCCAAACACGGTACAAGATCAGGAGAAACAAATCTTTAAATAAAACTCAACAGCAACCTGAAAAATGGTGAGCCCAAATGACGTCATGCACAACATCCAACATCAATGAATCAAGTGGTTCGGCCATTTTATACGACCACCAACAAACCACACAGCACAACGTGAGGCAAAATGTGAGGCAGCGTGGTGGAATCAGGCTCTCGTCAAAATAATCAAAGTGAAGAAACTTGCATTTTTCTGCAGGCTTGTGAATTTTTATCAAATTTTTGTTTATTGACTCAACAACTTTCATGTCCATTAAAGAACTTATTTCTGTGTGGATTTTTCATAAAAACGTTGATTAAAGGCACAACAAATTAATGTAAAATTTCAGTTACCACGGACTCTTAAGCAAAGAAAATAACTAATCTTTGGCAGCCATTTTCTCACTAATTTTACCTCTGAAAACAGGTGACCCCCCACCTCCATCATTCGCAAATATCTCGACTAGCATTCAATTTTCCATCTAAATAAAGACAAATAAACAAGCTTTAAGATGATACCGACAACTGTACATGCCCAAAAATTGACGAGAGCCTGATTCCACCCTGCTGCCTCAAAAATATACTGGGAAACCAGCAAGAGGGCCACCTAGACAGGCCTGGACAGACGAAGTCAGGGTGACACTGACGTCATACGACATCCCCTAAACGCAAGTCTTCCAGCAGGTACATGTAGCAGAAACACGTCTCTTTCTTCCCTCGACACCCAAATGGGTATAACTGAAGGATAACGTAAACGTAATGTAGGTTGTTTTTTCCGGAGGGGTCAGGTTGGTGAGGAACCGCGGTGGTGGGAAAAAAAAGGGGTTGATGTTTCGTTCTGGTTAATGGGTTAACACTTCTGTAATTGAAAACATTTCGCAAAACTTTGTTCTGCACGCCATTTCACTTATGTTTTATGTTTATTGCATCCCGTCAGATTTTACTGTCTTCATACGATTGTTCGAGAAAGCCACCTACCTGTGCAATCCACTCGGTTAAGACGTATCAAATATTCTGTTTTAATGTTATAATTTACGAAAACTCAAACAATCCACACTCTTTAGAAGGTTTGTTATGTTTGTTATGGACTTGCTTGTCAAGGACCACCTTACCTCAACCTTGGATTCATTCCAAAAGAAGAGTCGAGGTAGTCGACAATAAAATTATGTATTATATGCTATCAATTTTTAAAAAGCTCTTTATCAAATAACAAGCACTTTTAATTCAAGTTTAATTGGCCTTTAGGGTTTTGAAAGTTAGATAAACTCCATTCCTCTTTAATAAGAAAATACTATCTTCAAAGTGCACTAGAAGAGAACATCTCCATGGAGCTTAGGGTTTAATTTTCCTCGCTTAAATTATGGCGGCTAGAAATTAGTGGACTGACTATCAGCACTGCCCCACTCTCTAACAATGTTTGCCACTAACGTCAATATGACAAAGTTTATTCTGCTTTGATCCACATCTTTAACAAAGCTATCTGCATAACAAACACAAGTTGATGTGACAGTGGTTTTTAAAATTTACTTTCATACTTTGACCCCCCCCCCCCCACACACACACACTCGCCCACTTTTAACTTTTGTTATCCTTCTGTTTACCTTCATTCACAAGCTGTTATTCATGGTTTGACCCTGTCTATCACGTCCAACCGGGACTGAGAGGGATATCATGACAATGTCCAATCAGACAGAGAAATGATTCTAAAATTCTGATAAATTAGTAAAATAAGAACAACTCCACTAAATCGGCCACATTTTCTTCCAAATCACTTCGGATTTGTCCTTGAAATGTTAAGGCCACACTTTACTTCTCAGCACCATATTCTACAATTAAGTTATATTCACTTGTTTTTACTCATTTTCTCAAAGTATTCCTTCTAAGGATTTAAAACATTCAGTTTTTGGAATTAGTAACAGTTACAAGATCACAGAAATTGCAAATTAGAGTGAAACCAGGCTATCTGAATGGTCTTTTTCAAAAGATAAAAACTCAAAAAGCATCCATGCTATCTATGAACGAATTACATATTTGTAATCTGCTTACAAATATTTAAACAATGACACTAGCCTTTCTTGAAATTGAAAACATTACTAATTTCATTACTTTAGAAGACTTGCGTATTAGCGAATGACAAAAAATAGTCAAAATAGCCAAATAAAAAATAATTTAAAATACACTCTTTTTTCAAAAACTACACAAAAGTCAGTGTAATTTTATTTTAAATTACATGGTGCACTTACCCTCCATATCTAATTTCTTTTTGTTGAATGGTATTTTACTTTTTAGCTTTTAAAGCCAAGAAATGATCATTTTTAGGAAAGGAGCAAAAACATCTCAAAATTGCTTTATAGCATTGTATTGGTTCACAATGTTACAAACTTTACGGAGCTGTCCGTTTGCAATAGAGCTTTGGGAGTACTTCCATTCGATTTAGCATACAGTTTTCAGGAGAAGATTCTCAAACCCCAAAGAAACTTTGTTTGGACCCACACTGGACCCCAAAAACCCCGTCTGTGGCCTTAAAACGAATTCTGTCATCGCGATTTTTCGGGGCCACAAATTTCGAAGCTTCTGCAAATTACCGCAAAATTTACTAAAAACGTAGTTTTCATAAACATTTTTCTTCTTTTGAGCCGTTCTCACACTCAAATTTTACATCAGTCCTTGGAAGACTTATTTTGCAGTCTAGATCTCTATTCTTATCCTATTTAATATTATGTTGGTACTGGTACACTGTTGCATTGTTAACCGTAGCAACCGTAGCGTATTGTCTTTCGTAATTTTCTTTCTGGCGTATTCGCTGAAGGGTGACTGCAATAACAATGGAAACATTTCTGAAGAGCAAATCTGGTCGACATGTGACAGCACACCAACGGTAGGCTGAGTTCCCTAGGAGGACGCACGTGAGTGAGGGTAAGCTATTTTGTACCCCTTGCAATATAATTTATTGAATCTTATCTTTTCTAGAGGCGTCAAAGCATTTCACCGAGGGACTGGATCAGAATTTTAGGATGGGCCTTCAAGACACATTTTGTCAAGCATCTTGTGCAGTTAACCAGAAGCTTGAGAAGTACATGTCCTTGCAGGGTCAGCCAGGGATCAAGCTAATCTTTTTTCTTTTTTGACAACGTTGATTCTCTTGATTTGCCTGGCCTGAAAGAAGTGCCAGCTACAGAAGCCATAAGATATAAAGAATCTCTTGGTCCAAAAGCTGTGAAGGCATCACGTGGTATTTTACTTGATCTTACAGTCTTTTGGAACCGTGTTAGTGAAGATTTTCCTCATTTAGCATAATATACATACACACACACACACACACACACACACACA